GTAATTGCTCAGCAATACCGGCATGGAAACAATGCCAGCACTTAACATTTGCTCCGTGCTGTTTGATCCCTTTCTCCCCCCACTAATTTGAGTTTATAATAGTTCAATATATATATTAAAAGAAAAAAGACCAGACGCATCCACTGCAGCTGTGAGAACAGGCAAACAAAGCCAGCCTTTCTGGAGGAAAAACACATCTCCGTCTTTTATGCAATAAACCAGCAAACTGCCGTACGCTGGAATCAATACCTGGAGAGACACCCTTATGTTGCGATTGCCAACGTAAGTGCTTCATTTTAATTTATAAAAAATAAAACAAACCCACACAAAAAACCCCAACCCAGGCCTTGAATAATGAACGTCGTTAGAGAGCTGCTATCAATGCGAGGAGACGAAGGCATCCTGAAGCTGGGGACTGGGGGGAGTCCGGTGCAACCGTGTCACCTGGGGAGGGGTGCTGACACTTTCCGCACCTCCCCGCATCCCAGTCCGGGGTGAAGACATAACCCAAAGGGTTAAAAAGGAGGGTGGGACATTTGGGGTCGCTGGCTCACTCAGCCCCCCACACTGTCCCCCATCACCACGCTGGGGTGCAAAGCAGGAGCCGGCATCCATGCGGCTGAGCTCAGCCTGTCCTTCCTAAAATGGGGGAAATCTGATCCAGGCTTTTTTTGGAGTAGCCTGGAACTAGAGAGACCTCACGCAGCCCCTTCTCTCCTCCAGCACCTCGCTTTCCCTTCTCAGTCTTTTTTTCCCCTGTCTCTTCAGGAATCATCTCTATGGTCAGCAAGAGACCACTCCAGCCTGAAATGAGGTTTCTGCTGCAGAGTGAAAACTGTCAAAAAACCCCAGTTGTGCCCTCCAAATACCCTCGATGCTGCTGACTGGGAGACCAGGAGCCCCCTTGGCCCGCGGCATTGCATTTGGAAGGTCAGGGAAACTCGGGAAGCATCACGCCTGCAGCCCAGCCCTGCAGTATCGCACCTCGAAGCCGGTAAGCACGTGTCCTACGCTGGATCCCAAGGATCTGCTCGCCTGGCAGAGCCCTGGTCCTGCCCTGTAACCCAGCGTGGGAGGGACTGGTGCTTGGGAAGATGACAAAGTTGAGCTGAATCCCTCGTGACTGCGAGCATCCGGGGTTTTCAGCCCAAGGCAGCCTGGAAGCGGACGTGTTAGATGATAACAATTCGCTTTGGAGATTAAAAACCTCAGTTTTTCTTTGGAACGTCACGAAGTTTTGATTTGCCAATAGAAAAATCAATGTAAAAACAAGCATATACTCACCAATCAAAGGAATCTAAGGAACTCTGCTCAAGAGGGTGCTGCCCGGGTTCGGGTTAGGAGCGGGGTCAGCACTGCACCTGCATCCACGCTGGTCTTCGGGGCTGGTATCGCAGCCCACGGCTGGACCCCGAGCTCCTCTACCAGAGCTCGTGCGGTTCTCACTTGCACGCACCGGGCTCAGCTTGCAGGGCCGTGGACCTTCAGAAGCTATTGTGAATCCAGGCCTTACTATTTTCCTTAAAAATACAAGAAAAAGAAAAAAAAAAACCACACCAAAACCATGAGAGTGTTGCGGTAATTACAAGGAGGTTTTAACACGTGTCTCAATTTGCATTAATTAAATCAACAGGGAAGCTTCAGTTGAGTAAATGAGGGTTGTTTTAAGCAGCAGCGAATGCTGCGGCAGGCTGGAGCTGGTAACTCCAGTTTGCTGCAACCATGTGCGGTGGGATGGGGAGGGATCTGCCGGCTGGAAGGGGCTTCCCAGGAGGGAGGGAGCCGCAGGCAGGACGAGCTGGGGGTGGGGAGGATGAGAAGAAGACTCTCAGCTCGAAGATGCTGAAGCTCCAAGCCGGGTCTGTGCTGACACTGTCGGATTTCAGCCCGGAGAGTGGAAAGCTTTGAAGCCGAAGCCGGTCAGAGAGCGGAGGTTGCTCTGCGGAGATAAGCCGTGGGTGAGAGGAATGTGTCCATTCATACCCCAGCCATGCTGCGAGCACAGCTGTGAGGGGAATATCAATGGGCAGTGGGGCTTTTTTTTCATTTTTAAAGCCACCGGTTTGAATATTAAAGCAGATCAGACACATTGAAATGCTTGACTGGAAGTGAACCCTTTCCAACACACAACGCTCCGGGGCAGGGGATGGCTGGGCTGACAACCTGCAGGTGGGGGCCACCTGCAGGTGGGTCCCCTCGGTGCCGCCCCCCCCGACGTAACGGAGTCGGTGTTTCCTTCCCACGTTCCTGAGAAGCAAAATCCCTTTGTGGATAAAACACGGGGGATTTATGGATATAAAACCTGGCTAGTTCACATTCAAACCTGAACCTCTGCATTGTAGCAACCAAGAGCTGGTGCCGGTGGGGGCAGATAGCGTACCAGGCTAACCCTTAATTCCTGCTTTTTGCCAGAAAACCTTCCAGCGTGGCACAGGCAAGCCTGGAGCAGGCCAGACCACCCCAAAGACCGGAGGGCTCTCCCCTCTGGTCACTGACCGGGCGGGTGGCAGGGAACGATGCTCTGTCCCTGCCCGTGGCTGGCCTGGGAAACGCCGGCTCCGGCAGAGCTGCCCCAGCCCCTTTCCTTCCGACCTCTCAGGCCCAGCAAAGCAATCCAAGCAAGTTGGGATGTGGGGAAAACACCTTCCTCGCATGCTACGCCGGGGATTTGTGCCGCATCTTTCATCCACGCTGCCTCTGGCCTCGAGGCTGGAGCACGTCACGGGGATCTGGAGGAAAGTGCTGCTTGCAAGGGGAGCCTGATTGAAGAGATGGCTCCGGGCTGGATTTTAAAGCAGATGCAGCGAGTCGGTGAAGTAGGAAAATGCTCGGAGAGGGCTCCTGCACCACCACATCCCACGGAGAGCAGAGAGGGGCCGAGGGAAGGGAGGAAAGGGGGTGTCTGCCCTGCCCAAGTGACCCCGGGGCTTTTTTGAACTCTCCTCTTTCTTCTGGCGGGGTTTTCCTCCAGAGGCACAAAGACAATCGGGAAAGTGGTCCCGGGGGGCAGAGGCCGGCTCTGGAGCGGGGAGCAGAGGGATGCAGGGCCAGGCAGAAGGAGGTCTCCCCGCTCCCCCAGCCCCAGGGGCACTGGGGATGGGAATAAAGGGCTTTCCGTGAACCGAAGGGTTAACGCATCTCAGAGTCACCCTCGGAGCACGGTCGGTTTCTGCCACCCCCTTCCCGAAAGCCTTTACGTAAGAGTCTTGCAGAATTTATAGCCTGCCTCAGCTGTGCCGTGCTGGAGCCACGACCGGGCTGCTCCCCTGTAGCTGCCAGCACAGATCCCCAGCCGTGCTAATTCAGGGAGGAAAATGGGATTTGATTTCCACACCAGTCACTGTCTCTCACTGTTAAAATGGGACCTGACGGGCTCTGTCCGTCCCCCCCGGCTCGCCCACATGATTCATGGCATACATCGACCTTGAATGTCCCCCACCCACCCTCAGCATCTCAGCAGCGTGGTCCTGACCCTCCCTGGGTTCTCACACCCCAGCCCGCTCCCAGGGCTAGAAGCGGTGGTTTAGGTGTAAAACAATAAAAAAAAAAAGAAACCAATCTGGAAATCTCAAAAGCACCGAGGTCTTGCGGTCCTGTTCCCATCAGTCCTTTGTGTCACTGGAGAGCGGAGGAGACGTTGAAAGATGTTTTCTCTGCGGCTGCACAGCGCCTTCCCCCTGGGGCCACCCCGGAGCATCCTCATCCCTAGGACTCGCCTTCGACTAAGAGGGGCCAGGGGCCACCGGCGAGGCGAGGACACGGCCATCATGGTGACACCGGGCACCGGAGGAGTGAGATGCTGCTTTTCCAAAGGGTTTTGCTGGCGCCCACGTCACCCGCTGTCACTGGGTGCGGAATAGCACATGCCACCCAAACCCCCCTCTCCTCCAGCCTCAGCACCCCAGAAAATCCTGCCTCCGCACAGCCCCGGGTGCTGTCGCCTGCAGCAGCTTCTCCCTGCGATGGCAGGAGGTGAACCAAAGCCGGGGC